TGTGTTGGTGTTGGGGGGGGGGGTGGTCCTCTGACTGTTGAGCACGATTGCATTTCATGCAGCTATTTTTACTCAAATTGTTCTTCTACCTTCTTATACTCTAACGTGTAAGTAGAAAAGCACCCCCCCCCCGCCGGCCACACATGCACACTTCAGGCACAATACCTTCTTTGTGTGCAGTCACTGCCATGAGAGCAGCAGAAAAGATGCTGAACATACTATGCTGAAAAAAATATTTCTTTTTGACTGTCTTGAACCTCTTTCCTTTTTCAGTTCTGGGAGGTGATAAGTGACGAACATGGAATTGACATCGCTGGAAACTACCGTGGGGCTGCACCACTGCAGCTCGAGCGAATTAATGTGTACTTCAATGAGGCTTACTGTAAGCGCTCAGCACTGTTAGGGTGTTGTTAGAGCAATTTACAGTACCAACATGAAGGTTAAATTAGGAACAAAAGCTTTTTTTTTTTTTTAAAAAAAAAAACCTCCAAAACCACTGTAGGTGGTGGATAGGAGTTTTCAGAGTAGGTTATAGCCTGTCTTTTGACTTCTAATAGTAGTTTTTCATATTAATTTTCAGGCTTCAGAAAAACACTTCTGCCCTCTGCTAGCCCAACCCTGTTCTTAAACAGAACAAAACTTCCCACTGAGATCTGTACCTGTTTTCCTTTAGTAATTCTGCAGGAGTGAGCCTGCAAGTGTCCCTGGCCTGTTTGAGTTCCCTGATGGTTTTTGTTTGTTTTGCTTTGAAGCTTACTTGTGGCACAAGTTGAACCCCTGGTTTTTAAGCTCACTGAAAAGGATTGGACTTAGCTCCAACTTATGCTTTGTTAGTCAACCCTTTTCTATACCGCCACATGAAATATGGTGAAATACCTTGAAATACCTAGACGGAGGTGATGAGACAGGGATAATATTTTTACAAGTAGACCCAGTAACTTGCACACATTTTTCTTTTGTTCTAGCTCATAAGTATGTGCCCCGTTCTATCTTGGTGGACCTGGAACCTGGAACTATGGACAGCGTACGATCTAGCAAAATAGGCCCCTTATTTCGACCTGACAATTTCATTCATGGTATGTATACTGTTAGTAAAGTAGCTAGGACCAGCAGGCTCAAAGTGGCCTTTTAACACCATTCTTACTGCATTTAAAAATTAGTCTTGGTAACATTATGGCTGGTTCTCTGTACTCAGGTAACTCAGGTGCTGGCAACAACTGGGCTAAGGGCCATTACACAGAAGGAGCTGAACTGATTGAAAATGTCATGGACGTCGTCAGGAACGAGTGCGAGAGCTGTGATTGTCTTCAGGGGTTTCAGCTTATCCATTCGCTTGGTGGTGGAACAGGCTCAGGTATGGGCACGCTCCTCATCAACAAAATCAGAGAAGAATATCCTGACAGGATTATGAATACCTTCAGTGTTGTGCCGTCACCCAAAGTATCTGACACAGTTGTAGAGCCATATAACGCCATCCTCTCCATCCATCAACTAATAGAGAACACAGATGAAACCTTTTGCATTGACAATGAAGCTCTATATGACATATGTTTTAGAACTTTGAAGCTCACCAATCCCACCTACGGTGACCTCAACCACTTAGTGTCCCTAACAATGAGTGGGGTCACAACCTCACTCCGTTTTCCTGGTCAGCTGAATGCAGATCTGAGGAAGCTGGCTGTTAACATGGTGCCTTTTCCACGCCTGCATTTTTTTATGCCTGGCTTTGCTCCGCTGACAGCTCGAGGTAGCCAACAGTACAGAGCCCTGTCAGTACCAGAGCTTACTCAGCAAATGTTTGATGCACGCAACATGATGGCAGCCTGTGACCCTCGTCATGGACGTTACTTGACTGTGGCATGCATCTTCAGAGGCCGAATGTCTACCAGAGAAGTGGATGAACAGTTGCTGGCTATCCAGACCAAGAATAGTTCTTACTTTGTGGAGTGGATCCCTAATAACGTCAAAGTGGCAGTGTGTGACATACCACCACGAGGACTGAAGATGGCAGCTACCTTTATTGGCAATAACACAGCCATTCAGGAGCTCTTCATCAGGGTTTCCGAACAATTCTCAGCTATGTTTAGAAGAAAAGCATTTCTTCATTGGTATACTGGTGAAGGTATGGATGAGATGGAGTTTTCTGAAGCAGAAGGTAACACCAATGACCTTGTGTCCGAGTACCAACAGTACCAGGATGCCACAGCAGATGTTGAGGAATATGAAGAGGTAGAAGTGGAAGTTAGCCCAGAACAGGAAACGCTCTAGAAACAATGGCAATATCAAAACATTCTCCAAAAAGCACATGGACGCTCCCTAAAAAAGAGCAATAGCCTTCATCTGCATACCCAAAGGAACACCTTTCTTAAGGGTTTTTTTTCTCTGTATCAGGTCCAAATACAAGCAATATTACAATATAATGCTTTTGAAATCAACAGCAGCTATGCTTTGCTTTCCTGGACAACTGAATCTCTCCCAAAAAAGAACCCCTGTGAAGAAACGTTGTCTGCTAGCAGTCTTATTAACGTATTCACTTTTGGAATATATAGCCAGGCACCACATGTAATATACAGCCTGCGTGTGCATATCGGGAACATAAGCAGCAGTAAAATAGGCTATAAACTCGTATCACATTTATTTATTCTCAAGTAAACATAGTCCAGGTTTTTGTTTGTGACTCTGTTACTGGTTTAAGGAACACATGCACAGCTATAAGGCCTACAAAGGCAGTATCTATTTTATTATGCACTCAATAGACCTATCTAGATCTGTGGATAAGTTCAGTAGGGCTTTCTTCAGTAGAGACTGAAAGGGGAAGTTAATTTTTTTGCAGAGCTTGTATTCATTGTCATTGTGTGGTTTATTTTTTTTATTTCAAACTATACACTGAGTTACACTAACACACAAAATTGTGAATGCAGTCTAGAAGTTCTGGTGTGGTGGGTTTTTTTTTTTTTTGTTCCATATACTAACTATTGTAACTTTTCTGCCTAACTTTCAGTACAGCAAAAGGGAGGAAAGGGGTTGCATCTAGTTAGAGACACAAGTTCAGTGGCAATCACTGAATCAGAAATGTATCTTGACTTCAGGAAAAAGTTTCTTGCCAACTACAGAAATGTATACAGCCATATATTTAGCATTGTACTTATAATAGTCTTTAAACTAAAAATTCTATACTTTTTTTTTTAATAAAGTACTTTAAAAGTTGATACATTCAATAGGCAAAAAAACTTTTTTTTCCTTGTAAGGACTAACTTTAAGTTATACGAAGCAAATGAGCTTGGTTTCTTATACTCTTGAAAATAAAAAACAAAATTGTTGACTGTTTTCATCTGTTTGAGACTTAATATCATGTTTGGCAAGAGAGGTTAAAATAACTTATTTCTAGGTTGTAGCTATAAAAGGTGAATTTAATATTAAATGGGCAACTCTACGCCATACACAGGGACATTTACAAGAATGGTAAGTGAAAATGATTTCTAAGGGAGCTAAGTTCTATCGTGTTTTGGTATTCAAAGTGCCAAGTCAAGCCAACTTTTTTTTTTTTTTTGACTGCTTACATCTAAATGTTTGAATGTGTTTTCTTCCACTTCACAGACATGATGTTAAGTTGACATGATCTTACTAATCAAGTGGATAAGGATAAAGATACAAAATATAGCTTGAGTTAAATGTACTTATTTAATCGCTCAGTTATTAACCAACCTTCCCCAAAATTCCTGAGACAAAGGACTTTGAAATGCATGAACCCCTGTAAACAAACCAAAACTGTCTTTCCTCCCAAATGCAGACAAACTGAGTTACATCACTCAAGGACCTTCTATAGATTTAAAAAGACAGAACTGGATTTTAAAAGTATTTAGGCACCTAACCTTCATTTGTTTCTTTGTATCTACAACCAGCAGGGCACCTATGCACACACATCATGACAAATGTAATGTCCTTTCCTCAAACATTACCCTGTCTACATTAGACCTTCCATTTACAGCAAACTTGGTACTTAAGTACCATTTATGACAACTGAGTTTGAATAACCAAAAATCATTCTAATGCATTTTAATAGCACTCTTCTCAGCCCCAGCTTATATGATGCACTCTTAAGAGTCTGTGACTACTACACTCACCTGTGGTATGTCAGTTTTACAGTAGAGGGGCAGGATCTATAAAATTACATTAAAAATTATGTATGTAAAAAAGTATATGAATTCCATATGGGCTTTTTGGGGACATATCTTGAATTCTCTTTTGAAAACTGTATTAAAAACCAGAAGTATATTAATTTTAAAGGATTGCCTAAAGCTATTTTTTTTCCTAAAAAAAAGTTTAGGTCTCTTGTCTGTCATGTCCTCCCCCCGCTCCCAAAAAACTCTTTTATATATTCTTAGTTTGTTTTCTGTGCACGTCAAAATCCTGAGTATTCTAGGTGCACAAGCTTAATCATGTGACCAAGCTATTCTGTGCAACTAAACTTGGACTTTACATTTTTTCATGCATTTTGCCATTAAATGATTAGCTTTGAAGAGAGCGCTGCAACAAAGAGATTAAATAATAAGTTCTAAAGCCTCAGTTACACTGCACAGTTTAAGACGCTGATATTCCATGTCTAGGTGCCTGTAGTTACTTTTAATATATCAATGGTTTCGAGTATGTCACCTGAATTAAGACAGAGAACAACATTTACATTTAATATTAAAGTCCAAAAAAAGGGGACGCCTCATGTCACTTGTGACTTATGTTTTCTCTTTTTTCCTCCACCCTCCTAGTGTTCCATTTGTACTAAATAGGAATAATTTGAGTGACAGCAATCACACTTTTTCAATTGTATACAATTTTGAAGTAGCTGCAGAAAAATACATCATCCTGTTTGTCTGTGCAGCTGTGACAAAGGACATAGAAAGCACCTAAGAAAGCATGCAATCACTGCAATATTAAAAGCCAGAGCTGGAACATCACATGTTATTAACGAATTTCTCCATTTGGTCAGCTAGAAAGCTAGCTGGGTGATGAAGTGATGCTGTAAGAATTATGCTAACGGATGGAGGTTTTGATTTTTGTCAAAAAAAGAAAAAAGTGTACATCTCTAGAGGTGGTGCCTCCTGCCAGGAAAAACTACATTACTCTCTTGTATTTCCTAGAGTGAAATGACAAACTGAGTTGATGTTAGTTCAACAGTACAGCTGCAACAGAACCTCCTCCTCTCTGCTTGCCTCCACCTTCTATGCAAAACAAATAAACACAGAAGATGGCGATCAGGATGCTTTAAAGATGCAGCAAGTATTGGAAAGCACTCTATATGTCAGCTACAGTTCATATTTGCATCCAAATGTTACTTAAGAACGTAAAAAGTTGAGCCAAAGACTTGGAAGCACCTGACAGAGCCTGAAGTACGCCTAACTGGGGAGTAAGCCTGAAGAAAGTAATGCTTCATGTTTTAGTTGGAGTCCTTGGTATTATCATCCATACCTAGAAGAGTGTAGGTGAACACAATTTGGAAGTGAATTATATGAGAGCCCTATATTTCTTCTTATGCAGCAGGCCAACACTATAGGTGCCTGTGTAGTGGATGTGAAGCTATACAGCAAGAACATGTAAACACTTTCCCCAAACCCATGCAGCTGAAAACACAACTTCCCCCTAATTGAGAGAGGATGGAGCGCCACCTTCCTCTCCTACTGCTTCCCAGTGAAGTGCACGTCCCTCTCCCTCCTAGGAGGATGACAAAGCAGTAGCAAGGACAACCAAGAGATAGGGAGAGTACAGTCCAGGGACTCCTGCACTTCTTCCCACACTATAAAGAAAGCCAAGTCCCCAAATCCTGATTCACTACCGTGCTCCAGACAGTTCGGGACATTAGATCCCAGGCGTTGCACCCACGGGGAAATAGCCTGTTTCCAGTTCAGCCATTAAGCCTAAGCTTCATGAAACTGATTTTCACTAAGCAGTTCCGAGCACAAATGGAAGATGAACTCCATGACCAAAGAGAACTAAAATACAACAGCGTACCACTTCCAGCAACAGGAGAGAGCTGACAGAAGTATTTTTAATCACATTTTTGAAATTATGGGCCTATATTCTCTATTGAACATAAATACTAATGAAGAAAACTTTTGCCCAAAGCATGCATTAACCACTGAAATAAAAGTAGGTAAAATTTTAAACAAGTTAAATCTCTTTTTGATGTACCTGAAATATCAACGCGAACACCAACGTATTTGCCTTAAAAATAAACATATGTTGTTACTGAACAGCAGAGTTTGATAAAGAACAATTTTCTGTTTTAACACAAGAAAGAGATAAACATCTCTGCAAAAGGGAATACTTCGTCCATTTGAAGAACACCACTTGCCACACATACATTTGTTTGTTAAGTGACATTTATTAGCATGCTGATTCACATATACTGGCAAGTTTTACAGTTAATGTGATGACATTATACTGCAGAGTCTTGAGCTTGCCTACAGCTTTGCAGTTTGTTGTTACAGTATTCACCACAGGTCAGTTCCTATGAGAAATTTAAAGTACAAGTTACTTGATTCAAGAATGAGAAAACATGTACAAGATTGGCTTCAAAGAGAAGGCAATTTCACATCAAGAACAGAAGCTGCTCTACATTTTTGGTACTGCCACCTATTTTTTTTTTTTTAGCATGTCAAATGCAACCATTCCTCACCAGACCTAAAACAGTTTTTTTAAATGCAAAACAGAAGTCTAATGTGTATTTTGCCGACCTGTTTTACAGGCTGCACCGTCATTCACAGGCATGCTGATGAAGCAAGCACCTTACAGGGAGGCACCACTTCAACACTATTACTATCCCTGCAAACACAGTCGTGATGACATTTGGGGACACATTACGTTCACCAGGGCCGGTTGATGTCTCATGCGTGTAATAGTCCTAGTCACAAATCCATCTTTCCCAGGTATGTTACTGCATGCTTGGGACAGAATCCAGAGGAGATTTCGGTTGCTGGTGACGTATGCGATGTAAAAGCACAAGCAGCACCTGCCCTTCGCAGGCTTTGGGTCACCTTCACAGGCAGGAGCCGCCCGCTGGGGGAAACACCGGGAAACCCGCGCTCCTCAGGCAAAGAGCGGCAATCATCCCCCCCC